TCGTTTCTTGTTTTTTATATAGATTAGACCGTTGGTTTTCCCGTTTTAATGGTTTTACACTAGTAATTTTTTGGGGCCCTTTATAGCTTACTGTTCGGTGTGAGCCAAGGCTCCATGCATGTATGTTGAAGACCGTACTGGGACCTATAATGGTTTACTTTTATGAATTTTTACTTGGATGGAGAGTTGTCTCATTGGCACTCATACCACATCTTCTTTTATCTATAGACAAGGCTGCATACTGGAACATCCCGCACAGCCAAAACAGACGCCCCACTTTGGTAAGGGTTTTACTGCCGGTCGGAAGAAGACCTGTAATGACCATATTTTTATTCCCCAGTCACCCTTGGGGGTGGCACTCATTGACAAATAAATGATTTCCTTTATTTATCAGAACTACGATTCAAAGTTGATGAGCAAGTGAGGAACATCCACCATTGCACTAAATGGAAGTCGTGTTCGCAACATATGCAAAAGGCATAATGTTCTGGTTTCCAATTTCGTTGTCTGAGATTTCTTTCCTTGCTTCAGAAATTTAATTGTGCCATCAGACATTGTAAAATTGAAAACAAAGACTTGTTTCGTTCATTAATTATTCTGAATTGAACAAGAAATAGAGAGATCGTTTTTTACTGGTAGATAGTCCAGAGAAACCTTAAAGAAAATAACAGTCCGAATCATTCAAGCACTTAATGTTTGACAATTCTAACCAAAAAAATAAAGCGTAACAATGATAATAAAATGCTCCGCAGGGCGCAGCTTGATACGACCGCAGAGGTCGAACCCTGAACAGTTGGGGCAAGTATGGACACAACATTCAAGCTTGATACAGCTCTGAATTTGGATTGTGATTAAATATTTGACACAGCATAGGTTTCTGACACAGAATGAATGTGGTCTAAGAACTTAAAAATTTTAAATTGGACATTCACCTTTTATGGTCCAATATCCAAAATCTAAATACATGGTTAGATTCAGCATATCAAAGAACCCCAAGAATTCAATTTTTGATGAAATCAAACAAAGTTTAATTTTGGACCCTTTTGACCTCAATGTGGACAAAGTTGATAATGGGGCCCAAAAATCAAAAATCTAAATACATGGTTAGATTCAGCATATCAAAGAACCCCATATATTCAATTTTTGTTAAAATCAAACAAAGTTTAATTTTGGACCCCGATTTGGACCAACTTGAAAACTGGGCCCATAATCAAAAATCTAAATACATGTTTAGATTCAGCATATCAAAGAACCCTAAAAATTCAATTTTTGTTAAAATCAAACTAAGTTTAATTTTGGACCCTTTAGACCATAATGTAGACCAATTTGAAAACGGAACCAAAAATTAGGAATCTAAATACACGGTTAGATTCGGCATATCAAAGAACCCCAATAATTCAATTTTTGATGAAATCAAACAAAGTTAAATTTTGGACCCTTTGGACCTCAATGTAGACCAATTTAAAAACGGGGCCCAAAATCCAAAAACTTAATACACGGTTAGATTCAGCATATTAAAGAACCCCAATAATTCAAGAATAAAACCCCATTGAAATTGATCAAGAAATAAGCAATTTATACAAAGTATCTTCTTTTGCACAATACTGTGCAATTGAATATTTCTTGCTATTGCGCAATACTGTACAATTGACAATTTCTTGCTATTGCGCAATACTGTGCTATTGGATATTTCTTGCTATTGCCCAATACTGTGCAATTGAAGATTTCTTGCTATTGCGCAATACTGTGCAATTGAAGATTTCTTGCTATTGGGCAATACTGTGCAATTGAAAATTTCTTGCTATTGCACAATACTTATTATATAATAATTTACACATCCTGTTTGGTGTGTATCTCCTACCATATCAGTATTATTTGCTTTTAAATATAAATCAGAAATAACCAACTTAAAATGGAAAATTTTAAAAGAAAAAAAAAAATCCCCCCCCCCAAATTTTTTGAACCCCCTTATGATTCATCACCCCCAAACTCAATCCCAGCCTTCCCTTTGTGGTATGGTACCTTGCAGTACAATTTCAGAGAGATCCATACACTTGAACACAAGTTATTGTCTGGAAACTAGAAAAATGCTTATTTTTGGCCCCTTTTTGGCCCCCAATTCCTAAACGTTTTGGGCAATTACCCCCAAACTCAATTCCAGCTTTCCCTTTGTGATATGGAACCTTGTAGTACAATTTCAGAAATATCCAAACACTTACACACAAGTTATTGTCATGAAACTAGAAAAATGCTTTTTTGCCCCTTTTTTGGCCCCTAATTCCTAAAATTTTGAGGCAATTACCCCCAAAATCAATTACAGCCTTCCCTTTGTGATATGGAACCTTGTGGTACAATGTCAGAGAGATCCATACACTTACACACAAGTTATTGTCTGGAAGTTACAAAAATGCTTATTTTTGGCCCCTTTTTGGCCCCTAATTCCTTAACTGTTGGTACCATAACCCCCAAAATCAATCCCAACCTTCCTTTCGTGGTATAGAACCTTATGGTAAAATTTCATGGAGATACATTCACTAAAACTAAAGTTAGAGTGCGAAAACCAATGTGTCTTCGGAGGACGCCGGACGACGCCAGACGACGACGACGACGCCAACGTCATACCAATATACGACCAAAAAATTTTTAATTTTTGCGGTCGTATAAAAATGATATATAAACAGAGAACTGATAATGAACATAAATCCAAAACAAATAGACTGTTAATCTTAACACTAATTTTGGTCCAAAATTTGTAATAATTACGGAAAAATCGTTATGGTTGGCATCTATGCATAAGGTATCTGCATACAAGGCAGTGTTCTCAATAAGAGCAGGCAACCGGCAAAATCTGCCGCTTAATGCATGTTTTGTGCCGGCTATTAATTTATTGACAAAAATATGACATAGGCGAAAATCGCATAGTCAGGATCTGTCGTACATCTTTTTTTTACTAACTGGTTCCGAGTCGTCCGCCAGGCGTAAATAATACAATAGTCAACGTAAACCAGTTTTAAATCATTTGAGCGTTTGAAACAATACAATAAAATCTGTACAATCGAAATTGAACATGAATCAAACATGAAGAGAACGATCAGTGATTCCTTTTAGCGTGAGCCGGATTTACAGTAAAGTAAAGATAAGAAAGCTCGCTTAGTGTATCTTACATGGATTTAAACTTGTGTGCATTTATGTATTTTATTGCATAATCGCCGGTGTATAAAGTAAAATAAAACACGGTGAAATCAGTCCACATCTGACGAATTCTAGTCACTTCGGAATGTGGTTAAATCGGCACCCGGTATACTCAGTTCGGTACCTAGTCAAATATACGTTGAATATATATTGTTTTTAGTATTCTTAGCAAAAAAAATAAAATAAAGAGGGGGGATGGCCAGAATTATTGTATAATCAAGTTCTTTTTGTTTCTTTGTGTATTTTCTTCTGTCAACTATATGTGTATTCAAGGTATTGGATATTTATTATGCATGTTTTAACCAGTTGATATTGATGACATGGACTCATAGTTTGCCCTTTTATTGCTTCTTATTTTTTCATGATTAAACAACAGCTTGGGTAATGGCTTCATTGGTTTTTATTTAAGTTTTTGAAGAAAAAACATCAATAACTACTGTTTAGAGTTAAAACAACAAACATGTTAATTATTTAATTGATATAAGTTATTAAATAATTAATTGAAAAATAACAAATCAAATGAAACATCAGTTATAGGAGTTTTAAAAAAAAAACTTCAAACATTTTACTTCTTAATAACAAGATTATTTTTAACAATGTACTGAACTAAATAAAATCCAACCCCAATTTTTTCTAAATAATTAAAAAGCAGAAAACAGATGAAAATCATTATTTGGTACGGAACTGACCAACTAAATGCTGAAATGACTTTAAAATAGGCGCTGATTTGACTTTTTCGATAAGTGCCGATTACCCTCTGACCAACAGAGAGGATTAAGTGTAACCTGATAAACTGTTGACACTACATAGTTCATATTTCCTGGATTTAAAATTTAATATTTTTCTAGCCATATTTTGTCAGTTGCTTTCTGCAGGTTGACAGTTTCCAAAGGCAACTCTGGTTTCCTCTAAATATAAATCTTACCAGTTTTTGAATGACCGAATAAAGCATCAATTAATGTTCTCAATGAATTCTATTTGAAACTATAATACAAGACACTAAGAAATAATATGAAGTGAAGACACAATTATAAGGGCTATTCCAGAAATGTCTTTATGGAGAGGGGGAAGGCACATTAATAAAAAAAAAATTGCATGGGCTACTTCACATATTTTCCCAATCAAAACTTAAAATTAAGGAAAAATGAATTAAAATTTTATTCAAATAATGCTTTTCCCTCCCCATACAATCAATTCAGGAATAGCCCTTAGTGATAAAGACTTGCAATAAGAAGAACATTGAACATGGAAAGGGGTGAAGCAAGCCATGTCATATAAAATCTGCAAAAAAAATCACATTAATTTTCAATTTTTGAGGAAAAATTTAAATGAGCTACTAAAAAATGGACAAATTAACATGAAGAATAAGAGGTCAAAATCTACTCAGAACAGCCCAGATGCCACCTCCTGCAATCTAGATTTTCAAAATTTTCCAAACCCCCGGCTTAACGCTAGGGGGGATATCCACCCTCTGGCGTCTGCAACGCTCAGTTCGGGCCTTGCGGCCCTCATGATTGCCTGCTACTTTTATTTTTCTTCCTCTTATTCAAAAACTTATTGAAAACACTGCAAGGTATGAAGCGTCTGAGTCTACTATCTTCTGAAATATAAAGCTTTTTACAAATAATTTACGCCATGACCCCCAATTGTAACCCCTTTGTCTCACATTCTGCAACTTTTGTCGCAGGCGAGAAAAAAATTGCCTTGTTGATGCACGTTACTCCCTAATTCAAAATATTCATCCCACTTTATCTACAAAAATATAAAGTCGTTTTTCTATAAGATGAGAAGACTTAGCCTGCATTTACCTCCAGTCTCTGTCGAACTTCAGCAATGTTCTCTGATGTGGGATAAAGTGCATGTCCCAATGGCAATAATGAGTTTCTAAAAATAGATCTTTTCACCATTACAACTTGGCCAGGGTATCCTACACCTGTAAATTATTTTACTACAAAATTATTGTTATCTATAACATATAATATACTTTGGGATATCGTTAACTGATAATTAAATCTGAAAAAGGCAATAGAACATTAATTCTAGTTTTACCTTCAATCTTATTCTCATGGAATTAGAAGCCCCAATAGAACCTGTATTGCTCTGTAAACAATACCTGTTTTTATACAAAAGGTATCACTGTGATGAGTCAAGGTAAAGTTTTGTTCTAAAAGTTCTGGTTGTCAAAGCGGAAAGTTTTTGGCTTCATTATCCAATAAGGTCCTATGCTTAATTATGTTCTTAATAGGATTACCACATAGTTGAAGTAACATTTTTTTGGTACAACTCTGAGTATTATAAACTTTCATTCATTGTATCAGGCATAAGTCTATGGAATGATCTGCAGATTTGTGAAGTAATCCTAATTACTGTCCTTTAAAAACTTATACTTAGAGCAATATTTTTCTTCCAAAAACTAATTTTATTTGAATAAATTGTTCGTGTTAACATGTGATTTTATACATTTATGTGTGCAACTTTTATATTTGACTTTATTTGTATTACAATACAGAACCCCAGCATAAACTAGTCTATGTGCTAATATATGGGTAAATCCTGTTTAAATAAATGGCTTATATCATTATCATTACTTTGTATGACATTGTTGTATGAAACCTACCCAAAAGTAGAGCATGATTCGTATCAGTAAGATATACCCAGGTAACCCCAGGTAGTAGTCTAACCAACAGAAATGCTAAGTGACTTTTAGTTACTGTTGTAGATATGCCCAATTTTAATTACATTTAAGTGTTCAAGTAAAAATTAAATAATTCTACTTAGGTTGATTTTGGACAATGGCTTTTGTTGACCTAAGGTTACTTTCACTTGTCCAATGCAATCAGGATTTGAGAGTTAAGGTTATCTGTTACTGCTACACATAAAGTCATAAACCACCAAAAATAAGGACTTTTTATGGTAAAGGGTCTCAAAATAATCATTTTATTGAACCTATATGCTGAGAGTACCATGAGATGCGCACGCAGATCGTAGAGGTCACTAGCGTATTTGGTCTTATGAGGTCAAGTCATGGAATTTATCCCTCTTATGTTTATTTGAAAATAATGGATTAATTGTTTTTAACTGGAAATTAATATATTTGTGACATTTGGAATACAAACTTTACGATTTGATATAGTTTTTGGATGGATTAATATTCTAACGATGTAGCTTGTGATGGATAATTTGTCAAGTTGTCAGCATACATTTGTTAATGACATGGCTGAACATTCGAGCATTGACTCGGTATCGGAACTTTCTGGCACGGCCAAGACTAGTTCAAAAAGTGACAATATTTTTAGCATTATGAATGACCACAGGCAACTTATTTCGCCAGGTTATGAAAACAATATTAGTGGGTTTCAAGCAAGCATTGAAAACATTAATGTAGGAGGAGGAGCCATGAGCAATGCTCCTGTCACTCACACTCCGGAAGTAGTCACACCGGATATCTACAATATGCTACTGCAAAATCAATTGTATATCCAAACTTTGATGAAAAATCAGAATTCAAGAACTGATACTACACAAAGTTCCACAAAGGTGAATCCTAGACAATCGGCAACAATGGCCGGACCAAGAAAGGTCGTGAAAAATAAACCCACAAAGGATGATTACCAATCGCAACTGGACAGTTTGTTTGATAATGATATGAACAATAACCAAACTAAAAACATATCTGCACCGTCTGAATTATATTCAGATATTTCTAGTGACGAAAGTTACGATAGCGATGATGAAGCATGTTCTGAGAATGAAGTAGATAATGATATTGAAAAGGCAGAAAATGAAAATGTCTTGGAATCCATGAAAGACTTCATTAGTTCAGATGAAAAGACAGGTCCAAAAATTAATTCTGGTTTAGCCTCATACATGAACCAGGGACTGAGGACACGAGTCAATGAAGAAAAATACAAAGATCTCACAAAGAAATATGATAAGCCTGCTAATGTGAGCAGTCTAAAAGTCCCACGAGTCAACATAGGTGAGGATTTATGCAATTAAATTGCATTTTAATAAAATTTTTATCTTGTGAAAAATCAAGTGTATCTGCAAATCAATTTTTTATATTACAAACCATAATTTACATGGTAATAAATCATATAGTATTATAAATATGATTAAAAACTCGCACTAATTATCATGATTATGCGAAATGTGTACACGTATAAATATTGCGTAAAAATCCTTTGCATGTAATAATAATATACACACTATAAACTTTTTAGTGTATATATACTAAATTTATATTATACTTGTAGGTATTTGGAAACAAATGACACCACGGAATAAAGATGTGGATGTAAAATTACAACGTTTACAGAATCTCTTGTCTAAAACAGCTTGCCCATTGATGTATATGATGGATATGTTTGTGGATAAATCTTCAAAGAAAGAAGGAATGTCTAGAGAGGAACTGCAAGCATATGCAGTTACGTGCAGAGATACGTACCAGCTATTTCAAGCTTGTTATAGCGAAATAACCTTCAGACGAAGGAGTTTCATTAAGGGGGACATTCAACCCCAGTATAAAGGTCTGTGTGATGATACCACACCAGTCACTGACATGCTGTTTGGGGACGATATTAAGGAAAAAATCAAAGAGCTAGATGCGGAGCATAGTGTGTGTAAAAAAGTTGGGAAGGACCATAATTATACGTATGATAATCCCAAGAACTCATATCAGTCTTCTAACAGGGGACGTAGCCATCATGGCCATGGAGGGCGTGGATTTCCTCATAAATTTGGGAAAAGAAAACGCCACATTGATGGAGGAAAACCAATCAAAAGAATAAGGAAATATGATGATGATGGTTTTTTAGACCGCAGCAAGACATTCAACAAGAAGAAAAACAAAGACAAAAAGTAGATCATGTTATTTCTGATAGTGATGTAAGTACAAATGATCACTTGATTGACTTAACTGCTATAAAACTTCAAAATATTCCTAATAATTTTATTGGGGGGAAAATTTCAAAGTTTTTTCATCGATGGAAGGAATTAACATCTGACTATTGGATCTTAAATATTATTAAAGGTTATAAGTTAGAATTTGAAAACATTCCTACACAGCTTATAAAGCCATACCCACTTGTATTCAGCAGTGAAGAAAATGAATATGTACAAAAAGAAATAGATAAGTTTATTTCAAAAACAATTATTCAACCTGTTACTCCAATTAAGGATCAGTATGTTTCAAATATTTTTGTGAGACCCAAGAAAGATGGCACTTATCAAGTAATTTTAAATTTAAAACAGTTAAATCTTGATATTGAACAAATACACTTTAAAATGGAAACTTTTAAAACAGCAATAACAAACATTACACAAAATTGCTGGTTTGGTTCTGTTGATTTAAAAGATGCATATTATTCTGTTAGCATCAATGAAAAAGATAGGAAATATCTTAGATTTTATTGGAATGAGGTTTTGTATGAATACACTTGTTTGCCAAATGGATTAACAACAGCACCGCGAATTTTCACAAAAATTTTAAAAGTTGTTTTTTCAAAACTGAGAAGTAAAGGACATTGCAACACACCATATATTGATGATAGTTTACTTGTGAGCAAGACCTTTTCTGGATGTCAAAGTAATATAATTGACACAGTACAATTATTAGATCATTTTGGTTTTACCATACATCCAGATAAATCGGTACTTCAACCTACTCAAATTATTGTATTTTTGGGTTTTGTAATTAATTCAATAACAATGTTAATTAGAGTAACAGAAGAAAAGGCAGACAATATAATTAAATTATGTAGTCGGTTAATTCTCAAAGAAGAGATTACAATAAGAGAGTTTGCACAAGTTATTGGAAAATTAGTAGCAACGGAACCAGGTGTACAGTATGCACCATTATATATAAAGTCTTTAGAAATTACAAAAGATATATTATTAAAACAAAATTATGGAAATTTTGATGCAAAAATGTCTTTGTCAGATGGAAATATTTCAGATTTAAATTGGTGGGTTAATAATATAAATAGTAGTTTCAAACCAATGACTTTAATAGATCTGAAGTTTATTCTTAACACTGATAGTTCAAACACTGGTTGGGGTGCAGTTGTGCAAGATACATTGTTCGAAACCAAAGGTTTTTGGTCATATGAAGAACAGAAAAACCATATTAATTTTCTAGAGCTTAAGGCAGCATTTTTAGCGTTAATTTGGTTTTGTTCGTCAAGAAACAACATTCATGTAAAAGTGTATCTAGATAACATGGTCGCAGTGAATTATATTAATAAAATGGGTGGCCGCATTGTAAAGTTAAACAATTTGACAAAGGAATTGTGGATTTGGTGTATACAAAGGAAAATTTGGGTTACTGCTTGTCATTTGCCAGGAGTTTCTTATATAGAAGCAGATAGACTATCGAGATCAATAAATGTGGATATTGAGTGGAAATTGCATGATGATGTTTTTAATATTATTGATTTTTCCGTTATTTCTCTTACTTTCCTGATAAATATGCTGAAGCAGTAGATGCTTTTTCTGTAAAATGGACTCTTACTTTCCTGATAAATATGCTGAAGCAGTAGATGCTTTTTCTGTAAAATGGAGTAACATTAATTGTTATTGTTTTTCACCTTTCAGTCTGATAGGGAAGATATTGCAAAAGGTGGACCAGGATCAAGCGGACATGACATTAGTGGCACCATTGTGGAACACTCAGAACTGGTTTCCACAAATACTTCATCGGATTGTGGCACAGTCATTTATAATAAACAGTCGAAAAAATCTTCTTTATCAACCCCAGAATCCAACAAAAGAGCATCATTTAGTGAAATTACGATTAGCAGTTTTCAGGATATGGGGGAAATCTTGCAAAATTATGGATTATCAAAAGAATCTTCCGAAATCATCATTGCATCTTGGAAACCAGCTACTCGACAACAATATTGGACATATTTCAAAAGATGGTTGTTATTTTGCAGGGAACGAAAAATTAATTCATTTAAAGCCACTGAGTTAAATGTTTTAGAATTTTTAACTTCGTTATATAAAATAGGTTTAGGTTACAGTGCTATTAATACTGCCAGAAGTATGTTATCTTCATTTATGTCTGTAAATCAAGAGAAAACTGTTGGGCAATGGCCATTGGTGAAGCGCTTTCTAAAAGGCATATTCAATCTTAAGCCATCATTACCCAGATATCAAAGAACCTGGGATGTTGAAGTCGTGCTTAAATATTTGAAGACATTAACACCAGTTTATATGTTATCTTTACGTGTTTTATCATATAAGCTAGTTACACTGCTATTATTGTTAACAGGTCAAAGGTTACAAACCATTCATAGCTTAGATTTAGATGATATAACTGTTACAGATAGTAACATATATATAGATGTGAGAAGTTTATTAAAATATTCAAAGCCAGGGAGGCATTTACAACCAATAGAGTTGCCAGCTTTTATTGAGGATAATAGTCTGTGTATTGTAACTGTTCTAAAAGAGTATTTAGTTAGAACATCATGTTTTCGGAAAACCCAAAAATTAATCTTGAGCTGTATAAAACCATATTCTCATGTGTCTAAAGACACTCTTGGACGTTGGGTTAAGATTGTTTTGCAAACGTCTGGTGTAGACATAACTATATGCAAACCACATAGTACTAGATCAGCAAGTACATCTGCAGCACTATGGTGTGCTACTTCAGTAGATACTATTTTAAAAGCGGCAGGTTGGTCAAATGAATCAACATTCAGAAAATTTTATGATAAACCTGTATCTAAACAAAATTATAATGATAATTATAGTGTGAAGGTTTTGAGAAGTCATATCTTATCAAATTCTGATAAGTCTCATGTATAACATGAATAATGATAATACATATGTTAGATTTACAATCAATGACATTTTAAAGTTTAACATAACATGTGCATATGTCAATGTATGTTTGATTTACTTTACTTTTGTACTTTGATAGAATACAAAGTTGATACAACATCTTGTTTTTTAAAGCCTGAAAATAAATCATGATTGATGAGGCTGTATTAAATTACAGTGAACATGAGTAACAGATCACATATCTCTGAAATCTCATGGTACTCTCAGCATATAGGTTCAATAAAATTGTACAATTAAATGAGACTTACCTTAAGTCGAAATTTGATTGTAATTTTGTTGAACCTATTTATGCTGAGAGTTAACATGCCCTCCCTATCACTCGTATTCCCACCCAGTTTTCTTTTGGTGTATCATGTGCTTATGTGCTCTGCTACATTCTCTGAAAAGTGACCTCTACGATCTGCATGCGCATCTCATGTTAACTCTCAGCATAAATATGTTCAACAAAATTACAATCAAATTTCGACTTAAGGTAAGTCTCATTTAATTGTACAATTAAGTTGAAAGATTTGGTCTTGTAGTTTAAGAAGAGAAGACAGTCTTAGTCGTATGACTTACCATCAACTACTTTAGTCAATAGGCATTCTATATCAGGAAGTGGAATCTGATGTTTGTTTTCTATCAGTTTTATCACATCATATTTTTGGTCAAATATTGGATGACTTCCCCTTCTTCGCTCTGGTGTGTAGTTTTCATGCTCAAAAACACAGGTACTCTGAAATACAATATAGTTTTAAAATCTTTTACATGATTACAATATGAAAGCTAAGAAATATGAATAAAAAGAAATATTGCATGTATTGGGTAAATTGACCAGATAGGAACAAAATAAAACTAGAGGTTCTAAAGAGCTTGTGTCGCTCACCTTGGTCCATGTGCATCTTCAACAATGGACACTCTCCAACATTGTGGACTAGAATAGAATTCATGACAGAAATCTCTTTTTTATTGAGAATGCACTGCTGATCATTTTTTCTATTTACAGTTTTCTCTAACTTCTTTAGTTTTTGCCCAAAACACAAAAAAGGGTAAACAAATAGTCATTGAAGGGCAATCACTCCTAAAAAGAGTCTACTAATGATTTTGCAAAATTTTAGTCATTTGTAGATATTGTCTTGCTAATCATTTTTTATACGACCGCAAAAAATTTTGCGGTTGTATATTGGTATCACGTCGTCATCGTCAGCGTTGTCCGAAGACATTTGGTTTCCGGACAATAACTTTAGTAAATGTAAATAGAAATCTATGAAATTTTAACACAAGGTTTATAACCACAAAAGGAAGGTTGGGATTGATTTTGGGGGTTATAGTCCTAACAGTTTAGGAATTAGGGACCAAAAAGGGGCCCAAATAAGCATTTTTCTATTTTCCAGACAATAACTTGTGGAACGGTGTATGGACCTCTCTGAAATTATACCACAAGTTTCCATACCACAAAGGGATGGTTAGGATTGGCTTTGGGGGTTATGGCTCAAACCGTTTAGGAATTAGGGGCAAAAAAGGGGGAAAAACAAGGGTTTCCTGGTTAATGGACAATTAAAAAAAGTACAATGTATCAAGCGCGAATATTGTGTCCATTTTTGCACCAACTGTTCAGGGTTGAACCTCTGCGGTCGTATCCAGCTGCGCTCGGCGAAGCAATTTATTTTTACTTAAAGTGTCTTATCATTTATAGTTTTCAAGATAATAGGCAAAAACACTAAAAATTGGTTAAAATCGTCATTAAAGAGCAAGAACTCCAATAATGAGTCGACTTACAATTTCGATCATGTTCCTTATTTTAAGATATTGTCTTGCTGATAATTTTTGATTTTCAAGTGTCTATCTATTTATTATAGTTTTCAAGATAATAGGCAAAAACACAAAATATTGGTAAAAATCATCATTAAAGAGCAAAAACTCCAATAATGAGTTGACCGACAATTTCAACCCTGTTGACTTAATTTGTAGATCTTGTCTTGTTGATCATTTTTGCTTTTCAAAGTGTCTATATATCTATTATAGTCTTCAAGATAATAGGCAAAAACACTAACAAGAGTGCACACGCTGAAATGTCTAGCCTTCTTTACTAATCATTGATATTATGTTGATAGTCCTAAATATAAAGCTTTATTACAACTGTCACATAAACTTAACATTAACCAAGTAAACTAAACATTGACCAATGAACCATGAAAATGAGGTCAAGGTAAAAAAAAACCTGCGTGACTGACAAATAGATCATAAAATATTTCCATACACCAAATATAGTTGAACTATTGCATGTAGTATTAGAAAAAAAGACCAAAACTCAAAAACTTAATTTGACCACTGAACCATGAAAATGAGGTCAAGGTCAGATGACACCTGCCAGCTAGACATGTACACCTTACAATCATTCCATACAACAAATATAGTAGACCTATTGCATACAGTATAAGAAAAACAGACCAAAAAACAAAAACTTAACTATAACCACTGAACCATGAAAATGAGGTCAAGGTCAGATGACACCTGCCAGTTGGACATGTACAACTTACAGTCCTTCCATACACCGAATATACTAGACCTATTGCTTATAGTATCTGAGATATGGACTTGACCACCAAAACTTAACCTTGTTCACTGATCCATGAAATGAGGTCGAGGTCAAGTGAAAACGGTCTGACGGGCATGAGGACCTTGCAAGGTACGCACATACCAAATATAGTTATCCTATTACTTATAATAAGAGAGAATTTAACATTACAAAAAACCATGAAAATGAGGTCAAGGACATTGGACATGTGACTGACGGAAACTTCGTAACATGAGGCATCTATATACAAAGTATGAAGGATCCAGGTATTCTACCTTCTAAAATATAAAGCTTTTAAGGAGTTAGCTAACGCCGCCACCGCCGCCGCTGGATCACTATCCCTATGTCGAGCTTTCTGCGACAAAAGTCGCAGGCTCGACAAAAATTAGTTAAAATCGTCATTAAAGAGCAATGACTGCAATATCAAGTCCACCGAAGAATTCAGCCATTAAACTTATTTGAAGACGTTGTCTTGCTGATCACTTTTGCTTTTTAAAGTAACTATCCATATGTACTTCTTAGGTACTTCTGACAATCAAAGTAATCGAAATCACTGATGGAAAGATTGGAAGAGTTGTGTGCATAATTTAAAATCATATCCTCAGGTATCGTGGTGGAAAAAAAACTTGATACATCACTCTTGCATTAAATTCAGAAAGATAATTGTTTTTTTTTCAGTTGATAAAACAAATTTGTCTCCTTACATCCCCAGATGATGCAAAAAACTTTGACAGGAAAGAACACAGAAGCTAAATGCCATTGTGGAAAGATCTGCAAAAATCAGAGGCTTAAAGATTTACCAGTCAAGGAATTGCTACAGAGCAGCGCACAGATATATCTGTTGAGACACAGGAGAATCCTACTCAGGACACGAACCATAGAGCAATGAATCTCTCAGCAACAGTATCATCCCACGACAGCAGCCAACGCTTGAATAGTGAGGAGTACATTACACAGTAAAAGTAAGAGATATCACATCAGAAAGAAAGGATAGCATGGCCAAAGACCAACAGTGAAGCCCAATGGAGAGATCTGAACAATGATTTGGGAGTAATTTTGGAAACATCACTTCAAGGATGTGCTGAGAGGAGAATAAAAACACTGACAATGCTAGTATATAACATCGGGAATGAGAGAAGTTGTGTTGAGGAGAGGAAAGAAAGGAGTAACATCAAGCAGATGTCAAACAGGAGAGAACAGAAAATTAAACAGCTAAGGAAGGAGTTCAGAGACCTAAACAGGAGGTACAAGAAAAGTAATGAGATAGAGAAGTTAGGAATAGCCTGCCTTACAGACAGTATTAGAGATGAGTTGAGAAGAACAAAGAAGGGCAGAACAACTCAAGAATAGTAATAAGAAGAAAGCCAAAAATAGAGCTAATTTCATCAAGAATCCATATAACTACACAAAAACACTGTTGGGTGGAGAAAACAGGACATCTGCATTGTAGTAAGGAAGAATTAGAACAGTATCTGTATGAATCACACTAGACGAAGAAAGAGAGGTACCTTTGGGATATTGCCCAAGAGTTGAAGATAAACAACAACCAACAATAGACTTTGAAACAAAGGAAGCAACATGGAAAGAAGTTAGTGAGGTGGTAAAAAAGGCAAGAACAGGATCAGCGCCTGGGTAAAACGGTTTACCATACAAAGTCTACAAGAAATGCCCAAAGATACTGAGGAAACTATGGCAGTTATTCTGAACACTATGGAAAAAAGGGAACATTCCAGAAAGCTGGCAGAAGGCCGAACATGGAAGGAAGTTAGTGAGGTGGTAAAAAAGGCAAGAACAGGATCAGCGCCTGGGTATAGTGGTGTACCATACAAAGTCTACTAGAAATGCCCAAAGATACTGAGGAAACTATGGCAGCTATTCCGAACACTATGGAAAAAAGGGAACATTCCAGAAAGCTGGCAGATGGTGGAAGGGTGCTTTGTACCAAAGGAAAAAGATTCAAAAGACATTTCACAGTTTAGGACAATTTCACTGTTGAGCGTAGAGGGAAAAATCTACCTCTCTGTATTGGCAAACAGGATGGCAGAATATATGGTAGAGAATGGTTACATTGATACATCTATGCAGAAAGGAGGCATTGCCGGTTTTTCAGGGTGTGTATAACATACTAGTGTTCTAAGCCAACTAATACAATACGCGAAGATCGGTAAGAAGAATTTCGCAGTTGTTTGGTTAGACCTGGCAAATATATACAGATCAGTACCACACAAATTAATAGAGAAGGCAATGGATCACTACCATGATTAACTGTAGATGTAGATAATAAGACAACAGCCTGGCAGAAGTTAGAGAAAGGAATAGTAACGGGTTGTACCATCTCACAGATACTATTCATCATGTTCATTATGAGTATGAATATCATCATGAACACAGCAGAAAGAGAAACAAGAGGTCCAAAGACAGATTCACGGATTTTTCTACCAGCAAAAAGAGGGTTCATGGATGACCTTATAATAACAACATCATCCCATATATTTAAGCAAGATGGATACTTTTAGCACTGGAAGAGGTAGTCACATGGGCCAGGATGAAATTTAAGCCAAAGTCAAGATCAATGATACTGAGAAAGGATCAGATTACAACGAAGTTCCAGCTTAAGATCCAAGGGGAAGAAATACCAACAATTGTAGATAACCCTATTAAGTGCCTTGGAAAATGGTTTGATGACACCCTGAAAGACAATTCCAATATGAAGACAGTACAAACACAGGTTGCAGAATGGCTTAAGAAGGTAGACAAGAGTGGATTGCCTGGAAAGTTTAAGGCATAGATATACCAACATGGGTTGCTACCAAGACCGACATGGCGTCTCATGATCTATGAAATGACAGCAACAACAGTCGAAGCCATAGAAGGAAAGATAAACAATTACCTCAGAAGATGGCTAGGAGTACCACCAAGTTTTACAGCCATAGGTCTTTACAGTCGATCATCACAAATCCAGCTACCTTTAACATCAACTTTGGAGGAATAAAAGGTATCAAAGAGCAATGACTCCCAGAGACTCAAAGGATAAAAGATCAGTAAGGCTGGAATCCTGATATGTACTGGTCGAAAATTGTCAGTGAGAACTTCAGTAGATCAAGCAGAAAGTATTCTTCATCACAAAGACATAGTCGGCAACACCTGTACTACTGGTA